ATGAATTTATTGGCTCATTAATAAAGTAGTTGTGCCAATTTGTAGACTCAACACCAAAACAGAAACTGATACTTGCAAAGATAATAAACATAATGATCTTTGATGGTCTTCCGCTTGCACAGATAAGTACTCGTTCAAGATCTTCAAAGTAAAAGCATAAGACATAAGATTTGATTTGATTTGAGTTCAATTAGTTAGAATTTGACTCTTAATTGTGTTAGATGATTCCATAATCTATGTTGCTCTGTGTCTAGATTACTTTAGTACCAAAAGTATCATTCGCAAAGCCGTGAAATCAATAATTTATCACATTAGAAAGTAAAAGTGTATTCAGTGATGAAGTCACGTGTGCTTGTATTACTGCTCTTAGTCCAGGTAATGTGGGTTATCTCGAAACCGACGGACTCAATTGATTTTGCGAGATCCAACAACGTAATAGAGAATGATGTGTCTGTAAATGTGCCAGAAAATACAGATTTACAGTACCGAATTGAATATGCAAAGTTAATGAAAACTTTTATGAATGAAAGTGTGAATCCGTGTGAAAATTTTTATGAGTATGCTTGCGGGAATTGGAAAAATGTTATTGAAGAACGGCCGGTGGAACGCAGACGAAGCAATATTGTTGATATTGAGTGTAAATTGAACGATGCCGTAGAAGAGATGTTAAATGATTCTGTTGAAAATTTAACAGATGAATATGTTAATGAGTTTGAATTAGTCCAACAGTTTTATCAGTCGTGCTTATCAGCAAATTTATACCCAACAACAATGTCGCAAGTATATATTGACGTCATCAAATCGATTGGGGGTTTTCCAGCTGTAGATGAAGCATGGCAATCAGACAACTTTAGTTGGTTTAATATGAGTGCTCATCTTACCAACTTCAATGCTGATGGATTAATCAATGAGTTTCTTCTTCCACAATACCCATTCGGACCCTATTTTAAATTACCTGATTTAGGTTTTGATTATGTAGTTCACAGTGACAATATAGCTTCAAATACGACGCAATGTTATATAAGTAATGAAAAGCGCATTCGAGACTACTTAAGTGCATATGGAGTAGAAGAGGAAAAGATATCACAAATCGTAGATGAAATCTTTGATTTTTGGCGAGCAATCTTAAAAGTAATGGATGAATTCGAAGAGGATATCGATAAGTGCGACATAATTTCCGCAAATTCTGATGTAGAACCATTTACTTTTTGGAGTGATTATTTTGATATAGCTTGGATGGGCCAAGAATTCGATGAGTCCGTTACAGAATATCCATGCAATTATTTTTATAGTAAGTTGAACACCATCTGTGATGAACACAAAGAAGCTGCAGCGAATTATTTAGCACTCAAATTTTTATACAGAATGGACGCTAAACTTAAAAAGAAAAAATTCCAAAAGGAGTACTGTCTCATGGATATACAAGGTGAGATGAAAAAACTGCAACAAAGTAAAACGCCATAATTTTTTCATTTTTTTTAAATTTTATTGAATGAAAGCAAAAAATGTCGGAAATAACATCAAATTTGAGAATCGGTTTAGAATTGTTCGAATTGGCCACCTTTGGCGCCCGAAAGTGGCTCTGCGGTATTTTGTCCCATTCTCGGCGAAGCGCTTGCTTGAGATGATCGACACTTTGGTATTTTTTAGTTCCAACCTTGCTTTCCAAAATACCCCAGGCACAATAGTCCAACGGATTGGCATCCGGAGATTTTGGTGGCCATTGTGCGGTGGAAATGAAGCGAGGAACCTCATTTCTTAACCATTCTTGGATGGCGCGTGCTGAGTGCGATGGTGCTGAGTCCTGTTGGAATGTCCAAGGTCTGCGGCCGAAATGTTTGCGTGCCCAGGGCTTCAGAACTCCCTCCAAAATATTTTCGCGATAGATTTGCGCATTTAATTTGACACCACGGTCGATGAATACGAGCGGCGAGCGACCATCGGCTGTTATGGCGGCCCACACCATCACCATGGCCGGCTTTTGAGTTGTGATGGCCAACCGAAGTTGCAAATTTTCAGCTGACCTCTCTGGCAAGTAAACACGATCATTTTGTTTGTTTACAAACTGCTGGATAACGAATGGTTTCTCATCGGAGAAAACCAAATTCGGCAGTTCACCACTTTCGGCCAAGCGAAACAACTCTTTAGCTTTTTCGAGTCTAACTTTTTTTTGCGCATCAGTAAGATCTTGCACTTTTTGGAACTTGAATGGCTTTAGTCCAAGCTCATTTTTCAATATTTGCCGAATGGCATATTGCGATATGTTCAGCTCACGAGCCATTTTTCGTCCACTGCGACGCGGATTTCGTTCAATTCGCTTTTTCACTTTTCGAACCATTTCTGCCGATGTTGCTGTTTTTTTTCGTCCACTTCCTTGACGTCGGGCTACGCTACCAGTATCATGGTAACGAGCGATGGTACGAGACACAAAACATTTATTCACTTCTAAATGCTGGAGGGCTCTAACGATAGCCACTTGTGGTTTTCCAGCCAAATGCAAAGCAATCACACTATCACGCTTGAATTCCATCACAAATAACTTTTTTTTTGAAAAATTCCCACCAAAATGCTTTTGTGCGCTTGTAAACAATATAATGAGCTGTCACTAGAATAAATCTGACAGCTGTGGGACGAGCGGTTTAGAAATGACAGCAGTCTGAAGTTGGTTGCAGTTTTTTCATCTCACCTTGTAAATATACTTTTCGATTTTTGATCGATAAGCTTTATTTAGAGGTAAGTGACACTGTTATCTGTTAAAGAATTCTACAACAGATATTGAAAATCACGAGTATTCATATTTAGAAATATTTTAATGAAGGAATAAAAACTGAAATTACCACATTGGTTCAGGAGATACAGAAAAGTGTACGCCAACAAATAGAACAAGCAGAATGGTTAGATGAAAAAACACGCACTGAAGCTTTGTTAAAAGAATCCACAATAGAAGCACGAATTGGTAATTTCGATGACCCGGTTATGTCTAAACGTCTCATGAAATAAATAGCCTAACTTTTGATCCAGACAACTATGAGCAGAATAATATAAATTTAAAGAGATTTAGAACATTTATGAACCGATATCTTGGTCTACATAATAAAGACATTCATAATGAAACAAAGCCTCTAGAATTAATGATAGGCAAGCAAATCAATGCTTTTTACTATAATATCGACAACTCAATAAATGTAATGGCGGGCATTTTGCATCCGCCAGCTTATCATAAATCCTGGCCAAATTCTTTGAAATTCGGTACATTAGGATATCTTGTGGGACATGAGTTTACACACGGTTTTGATACAGTTGGAGCACACTATGATAGCAATGGTGATGAACGCGATTGGTGGACGAAAAAAACTGAAAAAGTATTTGATAATCGCACAGATTGTTATGTTCAACATTTTAATGACTATTTAATACCAGAAATAAATCACAAAATTAACGGAAATCTAACCAAAGATGAGAATATAGCAGATAATGGTGGACTTCGTGCCGCACTTAATTCGTACCGCAAATATATGAAGGAATTGAATAAGGAAGGTGACCTGGTGACAACATTTAAAGATGAAGACATGCCTGGTCTAAATTTATCACCAGAACAATTGTTCTTTGTAGGATTTGCACAACTATATTGTGCGTCGTATAAAGAAGAACACTATTGGAAACAACTAATCGATGAACACCCTATGGACAAATATAGAGTTTTGGGTACACTAAGTAATATGGAAGATTTCTCTAAGGTTTATGAGTGTCCTCTGGGTAGTGACATGAATAAGAAAGAAGAAAAATGTAGAATTTGGTGAAATGTTTTTAATAGATTTGGTCAGCAGAAAATGAATAAAACTCTTGATGTACAATTCCTTTCAATTTTAAAGGATTTATGTATAATAAATAATTATAATAAATAATTAACGTTTTTCTTTTTAATAATTTATTTTTTCATATAATATGAAATGTTTAGGTTGGGTTGGTTAGGTTGAGTTGGAGTGGTGTGGGGTACTTGGGCCCAAAACTCAGTTGCGTTTTTATGAATAAATTCGTCTATATAATTTTTAAACTTCTAATATGGCGTTTACACTGGCCGAAAATGGCTCATTTTGAATTAGCCATTTGAAAGTGTTTACATTCGTCGTAATTCATTTATTTCCATTTCAAACAGCCGATTTTTCAACTTGTCTGTTGATTTGATTTTTGGCCTGTGCCAAAAAAATGTTGTATGAAGGTTAAATATGGCTTCAAACCTTACAACAATATAAACTTAAAACATATTTTTAATTTCGATTAATTACTTTTTGGGAAATAGAAGTTCTAAAATGAGGTGCATCGGTTTCAAGAAAGGGTGTGTTCAATGTATTCCTTTGTATTTGAAACATATTTGGAACGTATCCGAACGTCGTTGGGACGCATTCATACAGAATGTATTGAAATGGAAAGCATTCGCTCTTGAAATTTTGTATGCAAGAATGAGCTATTCGCTTCTCATTTTCGATTTTTGACCAAAATGAGCCATATTCGGCCAGTGTATATGCCGTATTAAATAAATTACGTTATAACATAAAGAAATATTTCTTTATTAAGTTACATGAGTGCATTAGATCATTGTTTGTTGTAGCGCAGCTTATAACTTCTTTGTACCATATGTTTAGTTGCAATTGCTGCTATATAGATGAGCTATACGGTGGTAGACCGTATATTGCAAAACATCGTATATCGTAAAATGCAGCATAGTATTAATGTGCATACATATGCATACATAACAGCTTTATATCAATATGTGGAATAAAGAAATATTTTTAGAATTTAATAATAAATACGTTAAAATTAGAATTATATAATATATACAGTTTTAAAAATTAATATGAACACCTTGAGGATACCGTAAAATTTTATGGTTACTCTATAAATTTCAATATTTTTGCTTTACCACAAATACAACCCTGAATTATAGCAACTTGGTATATTGAAAACATCAAAATTTAGAATTTTCTGCTTTTAGAATAGAAAGTTGCTCTGTCGACACATGAGGTAGCAAATGTTTTAAATTGTAGTTTGTTTCTAAATGATAAAATTTTGTAGCGAAAGTTATTCAATTTGAGTAGTTTTTGACTATGTGTTATTGCAATTATCAGTCATAAAATTATTTGTCATTGCTAATTCAAACTAAGCTGTAAAATTCTAAGGTAATCGTGCTTAGAAACGGAAGTCGATTTCTTTAAAACATTTGTTCAAACTTGGATTCGAAGATTTAAGGAATCATTAGATTGCAGGTGCTGACCACTGCAGGTAAGTGTCGTTTATTTGTTTGTTCAATTGATCAGTGCAGGGTGTCAACAGTGTAAAGTGCATTTACTTTCATTAAGTAAAATCAATAATTTTTAAAGGGTTGACTGAATCATGATCTCATGATTTAGTCAGTAGTCCTTGGCGGTTTTACATTCGTGACATATTAGATGAGTAAAAACAAATATTTTCATTGAGCCGTGAACGTATGGAACTATTACAATAGAAGGGATGGATAATTAAAACAAAAATTTAAAAACAGCCCCATTCTAATTTCTTTTCTTTGCTCTTTGTTGTACTGTTTACGGTGTGCTCTGTAAAATACATGCATAGATACTTCTTGAAAGAATCAAAGACCCATATTAGTTTTTAGGATATAGAATTGTATTTATATAAAATTAATAGTGACTTTTTCAAATATTATATTATTTGCAATATGTAAAATTAATGCTTGTTATATATAATAAAGTAATTATTATTACATATTTGGATTACTTATATGACGTCAATTATCAACAGTTAATATAGCTTAGCGAAGCAAATTATTAGTGAAAATGTGCGCTAAATAAGGTTTTCAGGGAATGCTAGCTCAGATTTCATTTCGTGCATTCCTCTTTTTGATGCAAGTGTTTACACATGTTTTTGTTTTTAGAAAAACTTTGTTATTTTTTTTAATGCTGCCACCCTTTGGTTTTGTTTTGATGTTTACATTTCTATGATTCGAATTAAATTATATATCTTAAATGAATTCTGCAATAATAATGCAAAATTTTTTGAACATATTGCACAAGTGGATATTGTAGTAAATTTCTATATGTTTATTGATTATGTTATATTGATTATAAATATATAAAAAAACTTTTGCGGACTACATGGTAATTGTAATGAATCGGTTACTACTTTTAGTTTAGTAGTTTTTAATTAAATTGGTTTTTTGTTTTAAACCATATATGTTACGGTTTGTACTTATGTTTCTAAAAGTTTAAAGTTATAACTTATACATATTGGTACACATAAAAATCGAGTTTGCGTTTTCTGATGTCATTTTTAAGTTAAAAATATTTAAAAAAATTTGTAAAAAATGCTGTTCGGCACAAAAACTATTTTTTTTTAAACGGCTTTAGTAATTAATATTATGGAAATGTCGAATATCACTTTTAAATAAATAAACTTATGTACATAAATAAAGCATCAGCTATTTGCGGATTCTTATTATTTTATTATATAAATATATGTAATAATATAAATATATAAACTAAAAATATGTGTGTACAAATTAAAATGATATATTTTTATTTGATATGATAATGTATTTTAATTATATTATAGTATAATATTTTCATTTAGGCACTTGCTCATTTATATTAATGAATTAACGTTCACATTATGAATAGCTTATTTATACAGTTGATAAAACTGTTATAAACTTCATTCAATCATATATCACACAAAAATCTTAAATATATAATATATATATTAAATCATTTATATACATTTTTTTTGTCAATTACATATTTAATTAATAAAAAACAAAGACTTTATTAAATACTCCCTCAGTGTATGTGTTTACAGCCCAGCTGTTGTTTGTTTACATTTTACATATAAAATATATGTTAATTTCTCTTGTGGGAATTTTATTTTTAAGGGTTGTGTTCGATTTATTCGCCTTAAATGAGCTGATTTATTGATAATGAGCTTATTTATATGAAAAGTTTTTGTATGGTAAATTGGCCTCATTAGGGGCTATAATGAGTAAAACACCCTAAATGAGATAGTGTGAGTGTGCTATTACTGTCTTGTCTTAAATTACTATTATATCTATGATGATGTTTGACTCTTTAAATTGTAATCTTAAATTGTTCAAATAATCCGAAATGGAAAATGTTACTAAATTCATTTTATTAAACTTTATATATTAAATAAATGAACAGTAGATAATCCCATTTTTTATATTGCTTAAAATATTTGATGATGTATTATAGAGGTAAAAAATTTTTTTTTTTAAATTTTAACATATTTTTCAAAAATGTTGCAAATATACGTACATAAGCACTGATATGTTGCCTTGGGTTATTGTGTTATTTTTATATTGAAGCAATGAAAAGTAAAAAATACTTTCATTAATTAAATCGCTAATCATTGTTTTCAATATTTAAAATTTCCTTTCGAAAACTAAAAATTTGTATTTTAATGTATTTTGGATTTTATAAAAATTTTTTTTTTTGATTTTATATATTTTATATTTGATTTGTATATTCATATAACATATTATATAATGTTAAAAAAATACAGAATTATATTAAAAAGATTATCCGAATATTTTGATGTGTAATATAAAGAATAATTAATTTTGTGGTAAATTAATATCATGCTGCATGTACAATATATTTTAAGTTGAGTTATTTTGAATTATTGTAGCAGAATTATTTTATATATGTCATATAACTTATGATATATTCGTTTAATGGTAGTACTGTCTGAAAATCTTTTCTTGAATGTCAAAATGTAAATATTCTATTATTTTATAAAAATATTAAAATTATTAAGTCTGGCAACGCTCCTGGTTTATTGGATAGAGAATAAAAATTGAAGATAATAATTCACTTCGTTTAAGAAATCGAGAAGCTTAGATGTTTCGGAAGCGGTTTGTGCATAATATAATTAAATATAAAGTTGATTGAATTTATTTAATTAATAAACAATACTATAAATAATTCAAGTGACATAAAATATATTCATACATTTAGTGAGGTATGTATTAATATATGAAAGAAATATTTGTTAAAATTAAGTTAAACTTGCGGCAAAAATCAAAATGGCGAGCGAAAACAAATATCGATTTTATTTGCCGAATTGTGTTTCATTTATGTTGAAAATTTTCCGAAATGTTTTGTTTTATTGAAGTAAATTAACGTATTAAGTTTATAAAAATTAGTTTTATTACAGTATAAAAATATTTATTTAATTGCAATTTCCGCCCATTGTGTATAAGAGAATACCGCCCATTTTGACAATGCAAAAGGAAACTGAAAAAAAAAAATTAAAAAACGCAATGCAGTGGAAACGAAAAATGGCAAGGGATCAGGGGATCCTGTCTATGATGTGAAGAATTAATTATATACAATTTTAAAACACCTCCTACCAATTTGTGAGTTGATAGTTTCAGATATATCCATATGCATTCAAATTAATTACATTGATAAGTTGATAAGAAAAACTGTATTGTTGGGGGAGAAAAATTTTCAGAGTAAAAAAATTATTTTTTTTTGTATTTTTTTTTGTATTTTTTTTTAATTTTTACTAATGCAACAGATTATTATTATATATAGAAACAATTATGCTTTTAATTACATATTGATTTAAATATATATAACGGGTATTATAACTGTAATTAGGGTTGTTTCATTTTAGTTGTTCCATGTACAATCTTTATTTTTGGGGTGTTTTTAGATTTCCAAAAATGTGCATTAAAACACTTCTAGGATTATTTTATGAAATAAATATATCTTATGCCATATATATTGATTATTTAGAATTTACCGAATTTACTGACTAATTATTGGTCAGCACTGAAGTTGGTTTGTATACTGGGTTTAATGCAAATTTTATTAAAGATCGAACTCCAAAGGTGTAGTATTATTATTTTATGTTTTAAGTGAGTACAAGAAATAATATATTTATTTTTTTTATGTACGCATGAAATATCGTAAATACAAAACGAAGATTTTGTTCACTAGTGGAAATTCTGTAACCTCCTTAGTATTCACCAAGTAAACGTTTTGTTCGCTAATTGTAAACGAACGTGGTTTGTTTTTTCTATGATCCACAAAACTTACAGTCAGAAGAGAGAGATGAGACGCTTCATACATTCTCAGACGAAGTGTTTACCTGCCGTATTTTAAGCTTTTGAGAATTTCTTTTATGGCTGCATACTTTATAGATCCAAAAAAAAGCAACACATGATGGCATTTCTACATGACCAAAATTTTTGACTAGTGAATGCTAAGGAGGGGTTGTGATTTCTGTAGACGTAATTTTAAATTAGAATTAAAAATATTACTGCATTGTCAGCTGTAATATTGAAAATATTTTACTTAAATAATAATTCTTTTTACCTAATTATCTAACAGAATCCTTTCTGTTTTTCTTACAATTTTAGTTAAACATAATAGAGTAGTGTGCTCAGAAAAGCACCAAGAGTTGGTCCAATTGGATTTTTGTTATAGTTACTTCTACCACATTCCGCAAAGAATTAAAAATGGGTAAACCTCAGTCTGAACGACTGAATAACGATGAGTTTCTTAAGTTGATTCCACATCTTCATGCAGATGAAATCATTAATATCGAAATAAAGTTGAGTGGAATATGGAATCCAATGGTTGCTATTACAAGCAAAAGTCAAAAACCAAATTACTTGATTTGTAATTTGTGCAAACAAAATCTAAATCTTTCTGAATTTAAGAGACATTTACAAAGTACTAATCATATAGCTGCACTTCCAACTGTAGAGCAATTTTTTCATCCTTATTATACGTATGATAAGAGTTCAGAGAAACTGGCAAAGGGTATTGATGTATCGGATGAGGAGTTGAAAGAGGGAATTGATAAAGCAGTTGAAGCTATTAAAAAAATTGATATGAAAAAGTTTGAGAAACAAAAGAGTCTTGCTTTACAGTTATACGAGGAGGAATCAATAAAATTGAAAAGAATTATTACACAGCTTGCGTTAAAAACAGATGCTAAAACTCCCCCTCAAATCTTCGTTGACGTAACACTCTCTTTAACTGAGATGTTGCAATTAGAGTTTAGTGACCAGAAGGATGTTTGGAAAAAAATGTTGATAACATCTACACCAGCGCGTTTAAATGGAAATTACACTTGTGTTATATGTTCCAAAAATTTATCTGGAATTATAACGGTCAATGCCCATTTCAATGGTTACACACATAAAGTGGCACAGTTAGCTACTTTGGGAGTACGCCTTCGACAAAAGAACAATTTAACTAAAAATTGTAGTTACCAATATGAAACTAAGTATTCTGTGCAAGTTAATAAAACCGGAAAAGAGTTCTTTAAAAAGGAAGCGTTGGCAAAAATTAATGAAAGGAGTAACTTCAAAAAAGATGATAAACCCAAAAATGAAAATAATGACGAAAACGAAGGTGGAAAGAAAGATAGATTTCTAGATAGTAATTCAAAGCTCCCAGCTTCATTAGCAGAAAAGGCAAATATCTTAGCAAGATTGGCAAAAACTAATATGCGAGATGATAAGAATGAAAAACATCTTAAAAAAATTGCTGAAGAGGGTT